ATTATTTCTATATTCATATGCACATGATTTTGTCTTTATGCAACAGTTAATGCATAGTCTTACTTTATTGTGTGTTTTTTGCTGAGACCTTTCACTCATTTCTTTGTGCGTTGTTGATATTTTCCCTCGTTGCTGTGTTTATGCGTAGTTGCTGCGAGTGGCTGTGTACGATTGGAATCGAATGGGAAAGAGTGAGTTCATGGGCTGCATTTGTCTCAATCTGCAGAGCCTACGACCAGGTAAGTGTATCGTGTTTATACTGCTGAACATATGCGTATATTGTCTTTAATACATATAAATATACACACACACACACACACACACACACATATATATATATATATATACATATATATGTTCATTTCTGAAATTGTTGTGCTTAAAAAGAAGCTACGCATCGGCGCACGAAGTGGTGCCACTCCATTGAAGTGGAAGTGCTATACTCGACTGTCTTTCTGTGTTTTGTTAGGCATATTTCCACTCGTGACAACAGAAGTGTCTTGTAGCTCTGTGCGTGCGCCTGCTACCTATTTTGTTGGTGATCTATTCCAAAAAGTTTCAATGAATGTTTTAGGGGAAACGACTATGTATTATATTGTTGAACTATTCATAGAAAATAAGTGAGTGTTTACACCTAAATACCTTGGCATATGTTACATATAGCTTTTTTTGTATATGTGCAGCGATTGGTCAACTTGCTCGAATTTTTAGATATATTCTAATTTTTGTTGTTCTATTTTTAGATGTATCAAGATATAGACTCATAGCGCTGACTGTGCAAACAAACAGCATATTTCTGAATAGCGTTGCGAACTATCTATCCACACGAAGACCAATACATCCGTCTATTTATAGATTCTATTTATAACTCCAAATCTTCCGCTGGCACATGTCAAACATGTCATTCTGTTTATAGATGTGAAGGAGCAAGGCACCTATGCGCTGGATGCCTGGGGCGATAATGTCTCCGTAACGGGCGGCATTACGCTCAGTTTTAAACTCATTCCTGCGGCCAAGATAGACCGTGTACAGGTAAGCGTACTTTCTACGTATATAGAAATACGTATGCATGTGTGGGGTACGTTTATGGCGTACACACAGATACGTCTTTGAACGGAGGTCTCGCCTCCAGTCTCAATACTCTCTTCCACTGCCAAGATAGACCTTGTACAGGTAACCGTACTCTATACGCAAATGCAAATACGTGTTACGTGTTTTATATTAATATGTTTTCAAACAACATGTAAATATGCTTTGGAACGGATGTGTCACCATCAGTCGCAAACTCATTTCCACCACCAGTATGAAACTGGCACAGGTAAGCGTACTCAATACGTATTTAGAAATACGTAAAAACATAAATACAGAGTATAGGTACGAATTTCATTCGAAATAGAAGTGTATGTCAACAGTTGAATACGGAGAACAGGTAACCGTGCTCTATATGTAATATAATTTGTATAAACACAAATACAGAGTACAGGTAGACCTATTCGTTACATAAATATATTATCGTATCAACATATGCATACGTAGTGCCGGTGCAAATTTAATAGAGCTGGTCGCTCACAAGCTCAGTGGTTCATATCAATGCTTTGTAGCTGTGGATAGCTACCACATCGATCTATTGCTGTATTCACTATCGAAGCTTCTTATAATACACTATAGCTGTAGTGTTTTAGGGTGTCAGATATGTA